CCCCTTACTCATTGGAAGAGTACACTAAATACTGAATGGTTCAGAAAGAGACTTCTAGGGAAAGAGAATAAGCTAAAATATTAGTTGCTTAACAGACACAAAATATACTAGACTAAAAAAAAAAAAAATACAACTCCAGAAGATATTTGATATCTTAATAACTAGCCCTCAGAATTGGATCCCCCTTGCAGGGCTCTGAATTGTAAGCCCTTTTCAGCATGTACATCCATCTTTCTTTGGATGGAAAGGAAAGTCTCATTCCAGTACCTCAGAGGTCAGAGCTACCTTGTAGCACAGAAGAGATGATTTACCAAGTATCAATAATGTATTACTATCTATTGTCTGGAGGTGTTTGGATACAGGAAAACAAGTAGGGTATTCCTTAAATCATTTGGGGGAAATAAATTGACATTTTATTATTTTACCTAGTTCCCAAAAACTAGACTAGTGAATATACATATATATTAAATATACATAGCTCAGAAGACATAGATCTATTCTTTCTGTTTAATGGCTGATTCAGTTTCATAGTGAAAACCCCCTGATTCTCATTCTTTATTTTATATTTGTATATTGAAGATACTGCCTCTCCCTAGGATTTTTGTCAGCCCTAAAGTCCATTGGATTTAAATGCCTTGGTCAATGAGATTAAGTCCAAGATTATGCCACTTCTGAAATGAAAAAGGGTCAAAAGAAGTATTGGAGACAATAATGTCTTTCTTGAAAAGTCTCTTTTCTCATTCTGTGTAGGGTGTTTGCATAAATTCAGCAAAGACTACAATTACCTGGACTGCTTAATGAGGCTTATATGTACCACAAACTATATAATACAGTGTCTCTTACGGAAATGAGTGTTCCATCTTTATATATGAAAAATGGTTACGGTTGTTATATGTCTTGACTAAACTTAATAAGGAAAGAGATACTGGTAGCATGAAAACAAAACTAAATTAAAAGTATTTCCTCATAGTCAGAGCCATGTGATAAAAAACAAACAATAGAAGTACAGTTTCATTATATCCTTCAAATACCACAAATGTTCAAATCATTGGTACTTGGAACTTTGAATATTCAAATTATTCCTTATGCATTCTCCAGATTTTTGGAATTAAACCTTACTGAGTTCCCTCAATTAAGATTCAACCTCTATATAATTTTACTTCTATAGCATAGTTACTTGGTATCTGATGTCTGCATTTGAGAAAAAAAATCAACAACCTCCTTCTGAAATGCCTGCCCAAGTGAAGGTCACAGCAGTCCCACTTTCTGCAGTGGATTCATGAACTCATCTGTACTGGAAGAAAAATTTTATCTGTTTCAAACTGTACTGGAAGGGACAGAGCATTTACAGAATATCAGAAAATGTTTTTCTGGGTAATAAAGTTATTAACGCCATTGTTACACTTGTACTCATTATATAAAAATGCATGAAATATACAACCTTACAAAAACGTTTTGGAAAAGGAAAAATTTGTATTTGATAATTTCAATGGAATTCCTTAAAGGGGCATTTTGATATTGCAATTTAATTGGAAATAAAAAGAGAATTAAACAGGCCACCTGAAACTAGTGCAACAAATGGCAGTAATCTTCTTCTAATGCAAAGTTTCAGACTGGTATAACTGTATCTTTCATGTTTGTGTACAAGGCCAGGCACACTTCAACACTAATCACACCCTCACCTCTGGAAAGCAAGTCATGAGTATGTGAAACAATTCTATAGAACAAAATGTGGAATAGGAGTGGACAAGTTAAGCTTTTAAAATTAAAAACAAAAAATTAGGGACTGCAGAGAACTGAGACAAGAAATATTTAGTATTGTCTTAACCTAATCTTTAGCCTTCAAGTTAAAGTGGTCCCATCCTCTTTGAGACATTTGTCTGGAAGTAACCTCTTGACTTCACCATTGCTGATCATTAATGGTTTGTTTATTTAACCTTAGCATATTATTCATGTGCAGTTTGTACATGTATTATACAATTTGGAAAAGGACTATGAAAAGATGCTGTACTACTGCTCTATGTTTATTTTGATTATCACCGTAGCTGATATCTATTACGCAATTATGATAATCAAATGCCTTTTCAGCCTCAAACAATGCATAATGAAATGACAAATATTTTGTATTTACAAAATTTTGACTTGGTTGATTAAATAATTACAAAGCACATGTGTAAATAGAAAATAAATCTTTCTTTATTTTACAAGACATCACAAAATTTGGAAAGAGTCAAGCTGTACTTCACTAATCATCACAGCTTCCACAGTGAAAGCTCTATCACCAGCTCCAGGATAAAAGACTGACTCCCAAACATGTTATTGTGGATCTATTTAGGGAGAGGAATTAGTCTACAAGGGATTGAATTGTCAACTAAAAAATAACATTAATTATCTTTCTTCTGTAATGATATTAAGAAAATCTATTTTATTTTCAATTATTTGATAAAAATATGAATATGTATCACTTTTGTGCATTTCTTTCTCCTTTAAAGTGAAATAAGGTTCTGATTTACAGCATTAGAAGGGCTTTTATTCTATTGAAAGTATTAAAAATATTAGTTATTTTAAGGACAGTAATGACAAAATGGAAATAATAACTAATATCAGAAAAAGCTAGAACTGTGAAATTTTTACTCATAAAATATATGATTAAAAAAGGTGAGCACATACATTTCTCCTATGCTCACTTCATTCAAATAACCTTGAAGTGACTGTAGAGAAGGTGAGGGAAAGGCACCCCATCTCACCTAGTGTCAACTCATAGGCAAACAGAAATAGAGAAACACAGACAGGTACTGCAGATGTCAGTTCACTCAAACCCTGGCTGAACTGCTCTCTACATGAGCACACAATGGCAAGAGCAATTGAGAAGCTCAGATGAGATATTTGACTTTAAGGCAGATAAAATTTAGATATATGTGGTTGGTCTTATGCAATGATACTGCGATTTGTCTTGAAGCTGTTTGCTCTGGGATTCTTTGAATTAATGACAAGACAACATTAGAGTGTTATATGGAAAACACTGAAAAATATTGAAAACATGATGCATGTATTCAGGTAGAAACTGTATTTGTGCTTAATACATACCTGTGTCTTTTCCTTTCACTGATTTTCATGTCCTTTTCAGCTGCTAAATAAATACATCAGGATATATTTCAAAAAAGACCCAAGAAGAATATATTTCCAGCAAGACACTTTTTATGAGATTTTTCATGGGTAATCTGTGTCATACAAATTAATAAAATAAACATTATCCTTTTTCTGTCCAGAATCAGGCCTAAAAGAAAGTCAAGTCCCATAAGAACACCATCACAGTGAAAATTACCCTAGAAGTTAATTGACTAAACCAACTGCCAGTCTAAGCTGCTCTAAGGGTTTAGGGATTTTTCTTTTTTGAGAACAGTAATTATTATTAATCTTCCATAGAAAAAATAATCTACTATTTAAATAACCAAATAATTCCTACTTTAAAGACCTGGGGCCACATCAAATGGCACATTATCCTAGTGACATCATGAGGTACAAATACTAAGCAACCTGACACTTCAGCATTATCAAGAAGTCTAGTCACTCTCTTGGTACTCAGAAGACAACTGAGAAGCCTTTTTAAACAATAATTGAAGGAACTGTACCACTCTCAGAATGCATCATCAGATTGGATCCACTCAGCCTGGAATCTTGTATATTTTGAAATTCTACAGCATAAATATGTACACAAAAATAAAATATAATTATGTCCCAAACAGCTGTGGGACATAAAAATCAAGCTGTCCAGAAACACTTAATGCATTGTATTTTTTCCCAACATAATATTTTATAATTGTAATAACCATGTTTTAGATACCATGAAACTTTGTTATCTGTTTTATGAAAGATAACTAAGATTCTTCTTTTTCTCATGTCTTTTCAGGATGCACTTAACAAACCAACAACATCTCATTAAGGGTATCCAGGGAACATAATTCTGGACTACCATGTCTTAAGCTAGAACAAATAAATTATTTGATTTGTCAACAAAGAGTTTGCTTTCAGCTGGCTTGAATCAGAAATAAAGTTTTAATATTTTTACCTAAACCCCATAGTCTAGTTACTTCTAAAATTCAAAAAACTAAAATAACCCTCTCAAGGTAAGTCTAGTCCACTCTTTATGCACTTTCCACTTTCTGGAGACTCGAAATTGCAACTCATCTCTTATAAAACATTCAGGAATAAATATAAAAATAGTTTTCTCTAACTAATAAACAGTGATAGGCTGTCCATGGCAAGGGGGTTGTAACTGGATAATCTTTAAAGTCCTTTCCAACCCAAGCCATTCAGTGATTATATGATTCTGTGTTCTGGATACAGAACAAGTACCAGGCTATGACTGAAAATTGCAGTTTTTGTAAAGGAGAAACAACTGGGACCTAAAATGCATGGAATCATAGGATTAATACAAGGTTATTCCATATATATGAATCCTCGACAATATAAACCCACACTTTTCTTTTTTTCCCTCCTGACATTCCACTACAGTTGAGCCTAATTTTGTAGCAATAATCTTTGTGAATAACTGCAGAGAGAACAAAGAATTAACAGTTTGGTGTGTATAAAAGAGTCTTACTCAATTTTTATTACATTATATCCAAGCAGCACACTTTTTTTGAGAGACCTTTAACAAAGAGTGAACTGTAACTAATACTTTGTAGTGAGACAAAACCCAGAACCACTTTGTTTAGACAGTCTTGGTGACAGCAAATTAGTGCTGAAGTTATACTGCTACTGTGTTTTCAAGAGACTGACTCTATTAAACATTCTTTGTAGAAATTTTAAATCAACACAGTTGGGACCTATGTCCCAACCTATTTAATAACATATGGAGATAATTTATTTAATAACATTTAATAACATATGGGAACCTATTTAATAACATATGGAGATAATTTATTATGAACTCCATCATACTTGAACAAGTATCATGACCCAAGAAACACTGTTAAAGTAAAGGTTTTTTTTTTTTCTTAGAGTGACAATTTAATTGTGCAGTGTATTGTCAACAGTTGAGATTAATCATAGTAATGACATATTTTTCACTTAGAAAATTATTAAAAATTATTTGAAAATGGGGTAGGAATAATGACTTTCTAAGTCAAATGATATAAACATTCAAAAATTATAAAGAACCCACCTGAAACATAAGTCTTACATGATTTCTATTCATTTGGAAAAGGGAAGTACCAAAGTGAGGATGATGCCATAGGCAACTCTCAAAAAAAAATTATTTACAGATATATATATGCTCTAAAATTTAATATGAAAAATTGTGTTGTTTTGGAAATTAGAGACCGATTAAGTTAAAAAAATTAATCTATTAATAATCAAAACATTCATCAATAAAAGCAATGTAAGGTGAGTGGCTTTTTTTCTGTTAAAAAATAGCATCCCAAGTCCACATTTGGTTTTATCCAGAGGACTAGTTAAAATGTAAATTTTGTTTGGATAGGACAGCACTAAAATCTTGTGACACATGTAAACTTCTCACATCAGAAGTACTGCAAAAGAGCTTCCATACTTGTTTTTCTAGTTCTCACATTCAGCAAGATTATATGCTCTCACATGATTTTGCCCCTATCCAGGAAATAGTCTTCTACAGCTAAGGGTCATTCCTGGTTCAGCCTATATAGTATCAGGTTTGGAAATGTGAATTAAATTACCAGTGTAGTAAACTGAGATTCAGAGGAACACTGAGTCAGACATTTTCTTCTGTCATTAAATAATTATTGCACTTTTCTATTCTTCTCTCACCAATGGATATAGTTCAGCACTGAAGTTCATGTTATTTTCACCATATTAGCCTGAAAAAACCCACTGCTCCCATTCTGGGGGTTTTCTGCTTTGGATGAGGATTTATTGTCATTTGTTAAAACCTAATTTATTTCAAATCCTATGGGACAGATTATTTTTTTTTCAAATGTGTTTCAGGCCTTGAGTCATTTTGTTGACTCAGCCTCTGTCATGGCTTCTGAGTCTGTGACCAAAAGTTCATAACCTTCAGGCTGCTTAGCTGCATTTCAGGGCCAAAAATGGGCAGTGTGATTCAGAGAGGGCATAAGGGGAAAGGAGAAGCAAAAATTAATGCCAGGAGTAGAAAAGACCTGAAAGGACTGATTAAATCAGTGCCAAAATATTGACAGTGTCAGTGCACTATGAGGACAGGAGTGGTGGAGACTGCCCATGGGCCAGAAAGGGTGAACCTCAACAGCCAGGGCCAGTTCCATGATCTCTGGGACCTCAGCCAGAAAGGTCCTGCCCTGTCTGCCACCAGCTGGGGACATTATCCCGAGATTATTTTTATAACATACACCTGACAATCTGTGATTTTATTTTAAGAAACTGAGACAATTGCAAATGCTTGCAAAAGACCTGTTCAAAGTCAAAAGGTTTGACAATAAGGGTAAGATTCATTTCAAAATGTCAGTCTCCTAAAAAGTTTTAGTGTTAAATTTAAGGTCACCTACATTCCCTTTATAGCCCCTGATATGGGACAGGCGCCTTGTAAAAATACTTTACTGTTCTGGTTCATTGTCCTATAACAAGGATTTCTCTCCAAGTTGTCAACCTGGAGAGGTTGTCTGAGATTAGAGAAGGAACTTAAAGTCTCACCTTAAGTAGACTGCAAACTTTAAGGTAGTTAGATAAATTCCTTCTCCCAGGTCAGAACTGGCCATTGTCCATTTGCAGTGGTTGGACTCTCTGGCCACAGGTGTAGCTCTGCTCTTTTCCCAAGCAGCTGATCTAAAATATCTAGTTTACCAAAGAGATAAACTGACACTCTTTAAAAAAGTGTCAGCAAATATGAACAAAGAGCTGTATAGGATACTAAGTCTGACACAGGACACTATGATCAAGACCAATTTTCAAAGCAGTTCAGTTATTTGAAATTATGATCCATAATTTCATCCCTTTACTGTGACATAATTTATCCAAGAGACAAACAAAAACCCTCAGAATACTGAGGAAACAAGTATAAATCATAATTAAATGTGGAATTCCTAGAACTAAGAAATAATTATGATCTTCAATTATCATTTTTTCAAAGAAATATCAAGCTTCATAATTATGTATGTTACAAATAAGCCTACATTGTATAAACAGAGCCTCTGGATAGCTTACCTGAAATCATAAACTCAACTAATTAGAAGAGTTAAGAAACATAAACACTTTAAAAATTATTAAATATGTAAGCCTCAGTTATGCAATATGGCAAACTTTGCCATAGAAAGCAATAATGAGATTACTTTTAACCATGTGTGTAATTCCAGCTGAATAGTATTTCTCATGTTCCTGATAAAATTATGAATGTGGCAAGTTAAGGACATGTCTAAATGCTGATAGATTCCACAGAATTCAGCATATTCCTGAAATGGAATCTAAGATGCAGTGAAGAGTATCTTTGGCTTGAAGTTTTACAGACAAGTTAATTGTGGCTATACTGATTAGATATGTTCAGACAAATAAAACTCAATTTTCAGGCTAAAAATGCAAGTTTTAATCTATTCTTGACCTCTTCTTATGTCTTTCATCACCATACTTATTCTCTAACTGCTTTAGAAGTTTGATACCACCATAATGTCTGAAACATCTCACAAGATTTGTTGTTTTCTAAAAAGAAAAAAAAATGTGGCAAGACTAAATTCTTTGAGATGAAGTAATGTCTTTAAATATGATTATAGATTCTGATGCTGGCTTTGCCTTCAGTACAAATTAGAAATATTGCTATAAGTAGCCCTCCCTCACTTTGTCCAATTATGAAGCTGATGTTCCTTTGAAAAAAATTATCAGCCAATAGGTGGCACTGAAAGTATTTATCTAAATCTTCTATTTTCTTTTAGGAAATTTCAAGTTTTCTTCAAACAAATGGTATGTTATGCTCACAAATTAAAAGCTGAGTCACATATTGAATTTTCTTATTGATGATATTAAGTACATTTAAATAGTTGGAGGACTGTTGAGAATTCAAACAGTACCCTGGAAATATGAACAAGTGCATCATAGTACTTCTATCCTTGTCAAAACCCAATCTAAAGCAGGAGCTTCTTTTGAGATTGTGGGACCATTGACATTCCAGGGAGTAACCTACAATGAAGTTCAAACTGTAAATATCTGGAAAAACTGTAGCGTTCCAGAAACTGGTTTATACTGCAGTTTTTTCATGCTGTGTGTCATTTTCTTTTCACTGCTGCTTTCATTTTTGTAAACCTGTGAGGAAAGAAGGAGGATTTTGTAGTAAATATAATTGAATTTTTCATCACTAGCATTCACTTAAATTAGGACAAATTTTACAAGAGAACTCTTCATTCTCTGGGGTAAACAAGTTCATAAACTATTCTATGACTAGAGATAATGAGATATTTTAGATCAGATTTATGAGTGCCATATAATATTCATAAAGAAATAACCTTGCCATGTTATGTTTTTTCTCATTTTAATATCTATTTTTTGAGCAAATGTGATTCAGAGGATGTTAATATCAGTGTTTTGGTTTATACTGTGTGTAATTGAGTTCCATGCATTGTTTCACACCTGCACATTACAGTTCCTCCAAGGTTTTTACTGAAAGTTATGCCAAGATGGTGAAGTAGTAGTGACTTGTTCTGAAAAAATATAATATTGTGCATGATACAATACAGAACCTAACTATTCAATTTTCAGACTACTGCTCTACCACCTTTGTATAGAAATCTGTCTGAAGAACAAATGTAGGCCACATAGGTTTCAGCTATCACAAATAAGAATGTGCAAGGACTCATTGTACTGTCATCAACCACAGTGTTACAGGGGACAAGTGAATAGCAGTGTAATAGAAATATGTCCAAACCAGATAGTCCATAGAGAGAAATGGATTTGCTCAGCAGTACCAATGCATCTTAATTTCAAGGAACTAAAAGCTTTGAGTGCATTCCTGCCTTCATATTTTTTTGCCAGCAGGAAAATAAAAGTGTCTTCAGATTGCAAAGCAGTAGAAAACAATAATTTGATGCTACAGCACCAGACCTCAGCAAGGAGTAAGACTTCAGCTTCACCTGAATTGGTTCTGAAGACTTATGATGCTGAAATTGGTGATGAGAATTAATGTATCATATCAGAAACTAATTCAAATTAGAACTCAAATCATTAATTTAAAGTTAGATATTATTTTCTCTGTTCAGGAAGCAAAGCAAGGAGCTACATAAATCAAAGAAGACCAAGCAAAGATATAGCCGTTATTAGCGATCCAGCTGAAAATGTCATCCTTCTCAGGTTGCTGGGAATATGAGTGGGTATGAAAAAAAGAAAGACAAATTTTCTGACTGTAGATATCTTGGCCAGTTAATTCCTTTTAAACAATTTCTATGACCTAATAGTAAACAAAGAACCATTATGGTGTAAGCAAAGGGGCATATAATAATGAATGAATACTTAAATATTCTGGGAAAGAAAAGCATTGAATTTTATTGCCATACACATTCACGAATATCTGCACAACCATTGCCAGGTCACAAAAAAAAATTAGGTTTAAAATTTTAATGTCTTTAAAATACCATATTTTTTTATAAATGTTTGGCCACTAGTTTTCAGATACATATGCAAAAAATCTACAAAATAAATTAAAAAGTTTGGACAGCTTTCAGATAAATGGTCTGGTACTTGTTTTTTTTATTCTTTGCAAAAATTTGTGGATTGAATATTATAAGAAACTTATATATTTCCATTTACTTTAGCATCTAGCTATTTGAAAATAGATATTTGAGTACAATTTGAATAAAACATTAAAAAGTGAGAAAAGGCTAATGCTACACAGTCAGTCTCAAGACTATGAAAAAAGTGGGATACAGTATTTCACAGGAGTGTTCATGAGAGTCCTGAGCCTTCCATGAGAACCTACAAATGAAAAAGCAAGTCCTATATTTGAATTAGCTTAAGGGAGATTTTTTTGTTTGGAGGGGGGATTTTTTGGGGTTTTTTGTTTGTTTCTTTTGTTTGGGGTTTTTGTTTGTTTGTTTGTCTCAGTTTTTTGTTTGTTTGAGGATTAAAAAAATTCTTCTTTATTTTTTTTTCTTCTAGTAAGCAATCTAACCAATTTCAATTGGGCTTGAAAGCCAGTTTAGAAAGTCTGAAGTTATTGGCAGTACTTGCATGTTTGAATGGAGGAAATCAGTTCTTTCAATAATGAGAGAACCAGCAAGATGCTGCCTAATGGTGAGACTTGTTGAGATTCTCTTTGAAATGTCACCTGCTGCTGAGTGAACAGGCTTGGCAGGCACGAATGAGAGACAGTAGCTATTGTAACCTGCCAGAGCCCTTCATAATGGGATGATCATGCTTCTATAGTGAACAACTAAGGACAGCTATTGAAAGTGTCCAAGTAATTGCCAAAGATGAGACTTCACCTTATGCTTCAGTGCGTACACTTTCTAACTAGTAATGGAAAAATTCAAAGCAAGTTGAGAATCAGCTGAAATGCAGATAAATAACAAGTAACAAATCAGTTGTTCACACAAAGGGGGACAATGACAGCAGGTAGGAAGGCCAGTGCACCTTAAGCTAAGTCTTTATTTTTACAGAATCAACAATCTTTAGGGAAATGGGGGGACTGCCCAAGACTGCAGTTCTTCTCTGCCTGTCACTGTTCCATTAGGTTTCAGGCACACTGAGAAGGCCCCAGTCTGCGGCAGATACCAGCTGCCTCATCTTCCTGTCTCCACTATTTTCACCTTCTCTTTACTGGCCTTCTCTTAACATTCTTCTGCAATGACATTGATTAACACTGCAGATCAGAAGCTGTGACATTGCAATCAGAAAATCCCATGATCTTCTGATTCTAATACTCCAACTGTTAGGTAGTTGAAAGTTTTTGGAAGGAGAAAGGATGAGAACTACCAACTGTGAATGGCACCAACAAATGAAAAAAGGAGATTCCATATCATGTCCAGACTTAAATGAGAAAACAAGGGTGGGAAAAAAAAAAAAGATAATAATTCTCCTACTTTTGAAAAGAAACCCCAAAAAACCTGCAAAAAAACCTAGGAAAATAGTGTTGTTCTATAAAATGTAATCTATTATAAAATTATTCACTTGAGTAAATTTTACCTCTGCAATATAAAGCTCTACACTATTTCTGAGTTTCACAATGCTCATAAAATTCAAGAGTTGTAAAATTAAGGCCTGGTGAGTTGGGAAATGCCAGTCTCCTACTGAAAGTACATTTCAATACACTTATCCATCTGATGATGCCGCTCAAGACAAGACACCTCTGAGGAATTCCATTTTTCAGTGTAGTTTCCTACTCTTGGCTCAAAATGGACAAGCAACTAGGCAACCAGCTAATGAGTAAGTCAAGACTTAATCTCAAGTTCGTTGTTTGCAGTTTTGTCTGTGAAATTTTCAGGAAGTCAGAAGGGTGCTTTGAAGAAGATCTCATGGATCTCTGTGAGCCTCAGTGCGAGCCCAGACTTGTTCGTGATTAAGTCTAGATACTTGCAAGGATCACAACTAAAAAAACATTGTTTCATTGACTTGCCTAAAATCACGCTATAGTTCTAAGGTGATCACCATGAAATACTTTTCCTGTGCCCTGTCTTGCCACTACATATCTTCTAAGTTTAGTAGTGATTCTGTGTGTTAGGGTTCTGAATCATCCTAATGATTCACCAGGCTTACCAAGAACAGTGAAAGAAAGAAATATCCTGCAAAAACAAACCACTGTTACAAAACAACATATACTCCTAATATATATGTATTTTGTTAAGACTGGAAATAAACATAAACCCTATTATTTCCTAACTTTTCTGCATTTGACTTTGCTATCTTCATGATGGATGTGTCTTCTGATTTAAAAAAGTAAACCAAAAAAAATCAAAGCATTATTAGACATACTCCTGATGTTCAAGAGCATTGAAGAAATGATTGGCAACATTTCTTCATCTGCACAGCCTCTGCTCTTGTACTTAACACACACTTCATAGAACATATCACTGACTTTTTCTCCAGCATATCGATCTGCCCTACAGATTCAATTTATGCCAGTAGGTTTCACAGATACTTGCTGGTAAATGGCACACTCAAAATGCAGCCTGGCTCCAATGCCAAATGTCAAGTCACTTTTTCCATATTGAGTTACTAAAGCTTGACAGCAACACCACTGCAATTCTTTTACTTGTTTTTAACTTGAAAGGAAAATGCATTTTTGTATGAGAAAATGGCCATGTGCTGTTTACTGATGATTTCCAGTGAATTTTAGGCTAAGACAAGACTCTCAGATGAAAGGTTTCGTTTTAAATGCTTAGAAACTGGCAAAGCTGTGAGAAATTGAAGACAAACTATTGAAATGTTTTTGAAACTTAACTTCATAAAATATTTCAAGACTACTTTGTGTCCCAATTAAAAATTATATGCACAAAAATAATTTAGAAACAGAATTTGCATTTCATTCATTCATCAGCAGCTTTTTTTACAGTGGGAAAGTGTGTTCGTCATGCACATTTGTATCAAAATCCAGAATTCTCACACTACTGTTGGTCCATAGAAACGAGTAAACCTTCTTCTAGCCAGTCCATAAAGAAACTGACACATAGCAACATCCATTGTAAATAATGAATAGACCAATTTCAAAGTGTAATATTGCATCAATATTCACACTTTCTGAATATTGATGTAAATTGGTTTAAATTGACCAGATGCTCTGAAAAAGGCATAGACAGGTGCAAATTATTTTTCTCCTGTTAGCAAATCCCATTAGTCTTTAGGAGTGATGCGCTATAAGGGAAAGCAGCTGTTTGCTCTCCTTAGGGACTGCAGAGAAGGCACCTCTAAAGCCTTCGTGGAATTTCATAGGAGTGTTAAAAATGCAGAATAAGCTTGGAATCAGATCTTTAATCAACACTTTACTGTGACTCACTACAGTTTTTACTATCTATTTCTCAGTACAACAATGCTGTAATGGGATTATCCACGCTCTGTTCCCTCTCTGAGGCTTGTGATTACATATACAAAAGAAACTAAAAGAGCATGGGGCAAATTTCTAACCCTGAAGTCACATGTACCACTATGCTCTAGTTCATAATCATCTGCTTAAACACTCTCCTTTCAAAAGGAGAGAGAAGCAAAGCTACCCAATTTCTGAAATATTTATATTTCATTCAAAATTTTGCCAGCTAGTCATTGTGCTAACAAAGAAATTATACATGCAGTCACTCCCTAGTGCTTGATTCCACAAGGTAATTCTGTTTTATTTAGCAGTGTGAGCAAAGCCTCTACACACAGTGAAGACTTCCTCTTGAAGTCTTGGCTACTTACCTTTCCTGATTTGCATCTGCATGTACCTCGGAAGGGCTTATCCCATTTCTTTGTGTCATGGTTTGACACGGGAAGAGAATTTTTTTTTTTTAGAAGGAAGAGGTTCACCAGTCAGGGGTCAGGTTTAGATACTGACACTTGGGGTGACTAATTGAAGGTGGACACGCCTCTGAGAACACAGAGGGGTTAAAAGCGGAATTCCCAGGAGGACTCGTCCTTCTTTGGTTCCGGTCACCGCATGGTACGGACCTCCCCTGCCCAGCCCGGGCTGGGTGGGGGAGGGGAGCCATGCGGCCTGTGGAAGTAGGCCCAAGGGTGGAGGGGAGGCAACCAGACCTGGCCCCCTGCAGATGGAAGGGTGGAGAAATCTGGGATGTCTCCGTTCCCCCCCCCAGAGTCTCTCTCTCTCCCAAGAGAGAAAAAAGAGACTCGGTGGTTTTATCAGCAGTTCGCCGCAGGGAAGGAGAAGAGCGGGGGGGCCGCAAGGTGCCTAGCCGGGCTGTGGGAGCTGGAGCCTGGGCAGCGAGCCATCTTTGGGAGTTGGGACTTTTAACTCTTCCTGAGAAATGAAGGCTTTATGAAATATTACTCCTCCTGAATTTGAAGAAAAGAGAGACAGCTTGAAACCTCAGATGTTTAGAGAAGAAGGTTGGGGGCAGATGATAGAGTGGCTTTTTGGCTGGACTCTGCTTGTTTACCATAGACTGAACCACTCTTTCTTCCAAGAGGGACTGCATTTTAGGGGGATGCATTGGTGAACCAAGAGACCTTCTGCAGCAACTACCAGTTTTGGAGTGGACAGAGAGAGAGCTGAGGAGGGTGTGAGGATGCCCTCCATCTTCAGGAAGAAGAGAAGGCGATCTCTGTCTTTTGGACCCTCGGCCCCAGGGGAAAATGGGGGGGACTCTAGTCCCGAATTGTGATACTGGACTGTTGTTCCTGGTGGTCCTTGGCAAAGCATCCTTAAAGGGGCCCTATAAGCAGTCTCTGTCCATGCCCGGTGGTGAGAGCACTGTGACATGGAAAGAAGAGGGTCACACTGGCCGGTGTGTCTGGGCGGTGCCAAGTGTGACATTGGAAACACAAAAGGTGGCAGTTGTGTTTCCTGGGGGTCTATGGTTGCAAGGGGGACTCCTCTCTTCCCCGATGGACTCAGTATTGATTATATTGAAGGGTGAAAACTTAATTAAGGATCCAAATGGGTCTCGCTGGGGTTTGGTGGAGCTGGGTGGAGGGAGGAGAAATGTTTTGGAAGGTTTTCATTTCGAATTTTGTGTGTTTTTTTCTTTCCTTTCTTTTCCTTTTATAGTAGTAGTAGTAGTAGTGTAATAAAGCTTTTTTTCTTTTGTTATTAAGTTTGGCCTGCTTTGCTCTGTTCTTGATCACATTTCACAGCATTTGATTGGTAAGTTGTATTTTCATGGGGCGCTGGCATTGTGCCAGCGTCAAACCATGACATTTTTGGTTCCCTGACCGGGAAATCGAATTTTGGGTAAGATAAGATGGTGATAAGATGAGGGCTGTGAAATGGGATCAAAAAAGAACAAAAGCAAAGCATGAGTTTGGTTAGATGTAGTTTTGGTAATTATTTTTTGTAATCTGTGTTCTCAGAGGCGAAGGGTGGAGTGTCATGGTTTGACACGGGAAGAGAATTTTTTTTTTTTAGAAGGAAGAGGTTCACCAGTCAGGGGTCAGGTTTAGATACTGACACTTGGGGTGACCAATTGAAGGTGGACACGCCTCTGAGAACACAGAGGGGTTAAAAGCGGAATTCCCAGGAGGACTCGTCCTTCTTTGGTTCCGGTCACCGCATGGTACGGACCTCCCCTGCCCAGCCCGGGCTGGGTGGGGGAGGGGAGCCATGCGGCCTGTGGAAGTAGGCCCAAGGGTGGAGGGGAGGCAACCAGACCTGGCCCCCTGCAGATGGAAGGGTGGAGAAATCTGGGATGTCTCCGTTCCCCCCCCCCAGAGTCTCTCTCTCTCCCAAGAGAGAAAAAAGAGACTCGGTGGTTTTATCAGCAGTTCGCCGCAGGGAAGGAGAAGAGCGGGGGGGCCGCAAGGTGCCCAGCCGGGCTGTGGGAGCTGGAGCCTGGGCAGCGAGCCATCTTTGGGAGTTGGGACTTTTAACCCTTCCTGAGAAATGAAGGCTTTATGAAATATTACTCCTCCTGAATTTGAAGAAAAGAGAGACAGCTTGAAACCTCAGATGTTTAGAGAAGAAGGTTGGGGGCAGATGATAGAGTGGCTTTTTGGCTGGACTCTGCTTGTTTACCATAGACTGAACCACTCTTTCTTCCAAGAGGGACTGCATTTTAGGGGGATGCATTGGTGAACCAAGAGACCTTCTGCAGCAACTACCAGTTTTGGAGTGGACAGAGAGAGAGCTGAGGAGGGTGTGAGGATGCCCTCCATCTTCAGGAAGAAGAGAAGGCGATCTCTGTCTTTTGGACCCTCGGCCCCAGGGGAAAATGGGGGGGACTCTAGTCCCGAATTGTGATACTGGACTGTTGTTCCTGGTGGTCCTTGGCAAAGCATCCTTAAAGGGGCCCTATAAGCAGTCTCTGTCCATGCCCGGTGGTGAGAGCACTGTGACATGGAAAGAAGAGGGTCACACTGGCCGGTGTGTCTGGGCGGTGCCAAGTGTGACATTGGAAGCACAAAAGGTGGCAGTTGTGTTTCCTAGGGGTCTATGGTTGCAAGGGGGACTCCTCTCTTCCCCGATGGACTCAGTATTGATTATATTGAAGGGTGAAAACTTAATTAAGGATCCAAATGGGTCTCGCTGAGGTTTAGTGGAGCTGGGTGGAGGGAGGAGAAATGTTTTGGAAGGTTTTCATTTCGAATTTTGTGTGTTTTTTTCTTTCCTTTCTTTTCCTTTTATAGTAGTAGTAGTAGTAGTGTAATAAAGCTTTTTTTCTTTTGTTATTAAGTTTGGCCTGCTTTGCTCTGTTCTTGATCACATTTCACAGCATTTGATTAGTAAGTTGTATTTTCATGGGGCGCTGGCATTGTGCCAGCGTCAAACCATGACACTTTGTGAATCAGTGAGTAGCTTTCCAAAACACACTTCTCCTTTCCTTTTCCCATCATTCTACAGATGATCCTTCTGAGAAAGCAGTATTTTTTCTAGGTTCACTTTAGTCTTGACTGTAAACCGAGAATAAAAATGTAGTTGTAGTATGAGTAGTGATGCAATGTAGTTATGCTTTTATGCTATTTTTACAATATTCTTACAACAAAGTAATTGCATGTGGATAGCTGGAATTTTGAACAGTTATAGGTAAGACATTACACCGGCCAGGGAAAAGAGTAACAGTGTGGGGTCTGCTAGACCAAGAAACAAGATCAGGATCAATCAAACAAAAGAATCTCTGGGTTTTTATACAGCTCCTGCTGCTGCCTGGTCACCTGGTCAGGCCACAGGCCACAGGTCCCTTTTTTATGCAGAGGCTCAGGTGTTCATGACCTCTTTTCTCAGGCTCCCAGAACTCACAATGCAGCTGCACCCCAAGATACCTGCACTGACAGCATCACTGCTCTGAGCCTTCTCCAGAATAAAGAGGCCCAGTTCCCTCAACAACATAAAATGTATTTTGAACATTAATTTCTAGGCTATTGTGCTGGTTTTAGCTCTGTTAGAACTACTTTTTTTTCACAGTAGCTGGTATGGGGCTGTCTTGGATTTGTGCTGGAAAATGTGGATAACACAGATGCCTTTGTATTGCTGAACAGTGCTTATGCAGAGTCAAAGGCTTTCCTGCTTCTCGCTCCACTCCACCACAAAGTGGGCTGGGAGTCCACAAGAAGTCGGGACACAGACAGGACAGCTGATGCAAACTGACCCCAGGGATATCCCACAACACGTGGGATAAGCCACAACATGTGGTTTCATGCTCAGCATATAAAGCTGGAGAAAGAAGGAGGAAGGGGGCAATGTTCAGAGTGATGGCCTTTGTTTTTCCAACTAACTGTTATGCATGATGGACCCCTGCTTTCCCGAGGAACACCTGCCTGCTCATGGCAAGTGGTGGAAAAATTCCTTGTCTTGCTCTGCTTTTGTCCATGTCTTTTGCTTTACCTATTAAACTGTCTTTATCTCAGCCCACGAGTTTTCTCACTTTTACTGCTCTAATTCTCTCCACCTTCTAAGCAGCTGTCGGCACTTAGTCGCTGGCTGGGGTTAAATCACGACAGCCAGTTTGAATCCTATTTAGTATTCAGGGTTTGTTAGATATGTTCTTTTGATTCTTTTCTGAAAATCCATGAATACATCATACAGTAAATGATCAATTAGTCTTTTCTTCTTTTTACCTCCACTCTTGCCTGTTTGTGACAAAATTATTTCTTTACTTTCCCTTTGAAAACAAGGCTGTCCTTAGTCATTAGTAAATGTGTGCACCTTCTTTGTGCTTGTAGAAATCAGTACATTGTCTGAAGGCATGCATACAACATACACACATGGAAATCAGCTTCCAATAATAACCTTACCATTTGCATCAGATTGCTAAAGGCTTTTGAAGCTTTCCAAATTGCATGACTTAGTGGAAATAGGGCATAAGTCAGTTCCTTGAGTTTATGTTGCTCTTCCAGAGTGTTATGGGAACAGCAGCTTCTCTTCTACATCCCATATGAATTAAAAAAAAAAAAAAAAAAAAAAAAAAAAAAAAAAAAGCCAGCTCAGTAAATGAAAGAGAATATGACTATTATGACTATTTGCAAACCATTACAAATACACAGGGTAGATTCACCCTCCCACTTTGCTCAGTATGGCTCTGCTATTCAGACAAAATCAAATATGAACAGCTACTACTGCAGTAAACATTCAGCTTCGTAAATGCTCTATTTATGTGGCAAAGAAATGGGCTTTACAAGCGTTTTACAGAGAAACAGAAATTGCCAGAACTGGCAGTATAAATTGAAATAGCAGGAGGTAATGCTATGAGAATAAATATTGGAAAAACAACTAGAAAACCGGATGCAGGCAACTGATTTTAAATCCTTTCTCCTCTGCACATATAAAAGCCTGGAGTAACCCATCTCTAATGTGCATAGGTTAAACCTTCCCAGTTACTCGATACAGGTGCTATTGGAAATGCACTGTGAAAAACCAAGTGATTCAGAAAGTAAATGTGAGAAATTATGAAAAATGTTTTGAGATAGACAAGTTTTTAGCAGGTCAAATGTCAATGTTAGTAACTGGCTTTATCCCAGTAATCTAGTGAAGTCTGAAGTTCCCAATCTCTCTAAAAGTTACCATCTCTAGGATCTGCTGAGATTCTTCTTTGAGGCACCACTACCACATAATTTCCTAGTCTGTGTCATCTGTTGCAGTGGGCTGAATGGAATTACACAGGGAAGGAGGGTACCTGCCATGGTACCTGCCATACAAAAATGTTGTAATAAGCTACAGTGATGAAAGCACATTTAGTTTCATACCCAACAGATTGCAATGATTCATGTAACTTTCATTGTGTTCAGATGTATTCAACATCCCTATCCCAAAAATTAGGTGCTCTGAATTTATGGGCATGAACAATGTCAAGTAGGACGCCTCAACATCCACTCACATGGGAAGAATTTTTTGTGAGACAGTGCAATTTGTAATTGTAATGGCTTAATGGCTCTTCTATCATTCTTGTAAGTAAAACTTTTTCTTAGTAAAATAAAATGCAAAATAAAACAAAGAGATTCAGCAATATCTGTAGCTCCCCCTCCCCAAACTGATAAGCCTTCTGCTTCCCTGGAATCCAGTGTAATAATTCATAAACAGTCATTACAAAAACGTATCTTACTGTCTGAAAGTATTTCACAGACATCTGCTAATACCGCTCCCACCTAATACATATCAGGTATGTTTTATACTGGGTGAGATCTCCATTGGTGAAATCTGTACCATGAGATCATTCCAAAGGATATGCAATCCCACATTAGAAAGTGAAATTCAGGTATAAATACTGAATGTTCAAACCAACTTTAATTATAAAGAGAAAAAAATGTGGAAAGAGAAGTTATGCTTCAACAGGTGATGATATTTCTGCTTGAAAGCCTGGGGGGAAAATGAAAGGCAAAGGGAAAAAATTAAACAGTTTTTAAGTAAAAGTCTTATTTTGACAACTAAATGTTGCGGACTACCATTCTTGTGTTCCAGGAGAAAAGGGTCACAGTTTTGTAAACTAATCCAGTCATATGATCAGACATGCAGTAGAATCATATGATTGGAAAGATTAGATGATACAAATAGCAAATGAGGTAAACCATAGCAGAAATGGAAGAAAAAATCAAAAATATCTCTCCTTTCAAAATTCATCATTTATAAGTAATGAACTAATAGCCTCCAACCCATAATAAGCAGGTAAAAACAATGATGAAAGAAGAGAGAAAGATGACAAAAATCAGAAAGAGTAAGAAGTGTGCTGAATGAAAGTTTTGCTACTGGAAGGAAGAAAAGTGTCTTTACATATGACATAATCCAGCCCCTCAGACAATCCATAGTTACTCAGTGCAAAAGCTTTTGTACAAAACTATAGTGTACACATTCCTAGACAGAGAGAGGTGCCTATACCAATATGCCATAAGTGCTTCTAGGCACAGCATGAATGGGAGCACTTCAGCAGTGACACTCAGGGACTTCATTCATGAGCTGGGAAAACTACAGCTGAAGGCAAATTACAATTTGAAGGCATGCCCATTGCTCCCTTGGCTCCAGCTCTGTGATCCAAGCTGTGAGGGAGGATTGAAATTAAATAAAAGGCCCACAAGGCAAAGGTACAAATGCTTCATTAGTTTTTCAGGCAAACCCAAGTCTCACACTAATCTCAAACACTTTCTGTAAGAGAAAGGATCTTGAACTGGCTAGGGAATTAAGAATTACAATGATGTGCATTTTTTTGAAGCCTGCACTTATTACCCACAAAAAGGGTGCATAATCAAGGTCAGTAAAGTCCAGGACTGAAAGAGTCAGTGCACTGCAGGAAGTATTACAACATAAAACAGATATCTGCCATGAAGACAAACACCTACCAGAGATATCTAGAACACAGAGGAGCTGCATAAACAGCCAGCTTTTCAAATGGATGGAATTTTTTTTTCCCACCTACAGTGCCTTCCGTAAATAACTTCCTCACGATGATAAAGCTGCCATGGAGCTGCACACTGAGAAGCTCTGCCGGAAGAAAAGATAACTTGAGGTGATTCCGTACAATTTTAGTATCATTGCTCTGTTTTAACACTGGCATTTTATAGATGTCTTTTCCTTTTGACCTTCAGACTGGCCAAATGGGTGTCAGGGCTCTAGCAAGGGATGGCTGTTCCCTTGAGGCTGAGAAACTCCCAGTGGTTGCTCTGCTCTGTGTTAGAGATGCTAATAGAGCCTTCAGACAGTCACAGGCAAAGCAAGTGATGAACTAGGAAACTCTGGGGCTGGAGTCTGTACAGGGGATCCAGCCAGCAGACAAGGCCAGAAGAAGGTTGTCACACAGTCACAACTATGTCATAGCTTAAATCAGGATGGCCAACCTGAGCTGAAATGGGAGTCCTGGGCAGGGTGTGGGGGAAGGGCCTCAGCTGAGGGTGGGTAGGGCATCTTAGTGCTCTCAGGGGCCTGGCAGCACCTATAGAATGCAGTGGAGTTAATAATAATTTTCCAGAGGAAACAAAGATTCCTAGCACTTTTGAATTTATCACAGCTTCAGACAAGCCAGTGAAGACACCAGATCTGTGGGGCAGTTTACTGTGCTCAGTCCCCTCATACCTTCAGAGATTTTCTAGACCATATGTTCTTTCACAGCTTCTGCAGTGAGTCATGGGCTCAGCACTGGGCTCATATAACCTAAATATAAACTGAAATTATGGAGTCACTAAATGGAAAGCCAGATTTTCCATTTAGCAATTTTCACCATCAGGAAAGTAGGAGTAGGATTGCACAAGTGCTAGAACTAGAAAAAATAAAAGGGAATCTGTCTCTTCACAGGCTGTGGTACACCCTGCTTCTCCAGCCTGCAAGAAATGTGGAGGAGGACATCCAAGCATTGACCTAAAAGAGGAGACAAGATCCAAATCCTAGGTTCATCAAGGAAAAATGGAAACAAATAAATAGATGATAGAGCAGATTGTGGTACAGATCTTTCAGAGACTGAAAAATATCCCAAGTGAAATAAAGAAAATGAGGAGAAAATAACTGGCAATTAGCAAGGCTTCAGGGAATGGAGCTGCTGAGCAGACAAGAGTACATTTGGTAATGAAACAGAAGAAATAATACAGGTGCTGTCAGATTAGGTTCCTTAGAACTGGACTGAAAATTAAGGATTAGACTAAGCAGTTAGAAACTGGGCAGCCTCCAGGGGAAAGTAAAGTTGTTAAGTGTTAATGTCTCTAACTCTGTTAATGTCTCTGACTAAGCACTGGCCCTGAAGGATGGTGTGCCCCATTGCTCACTCCAAGTTCTCGTTTTCCCCAGTATATATCCAAGACAAGACCTTGTCACACACCAGACACATCTTAGCTCCCCTGACAGAAAAGCCAACCATCTCAGCAGGGCAGGGGCTGCAGTGGACACAGCAGCTTCCCGTGGCCTTCACAGATACAGGAACCAGCCCTGAACCTGCAGCTTTTCTGTAAGTAACAAAATTTCTGGACTAATTTCTAAGGCAAATCTTTGTTATTTATCAAGTAAACTACAAATATTTTTCTAAGATTTGAGAAGGAAGAGGAAAGGTCTGCAGCTGTCCTTGTATCCAGATTGGATCTCCTTGTGTACAGAAGCCAAACCAGTTTTGCAAGAATGTTCCAGAGGTGTTGCCTTGCAACATTAAGTTACACATTACTTGCCCTTCAACAACCCTTTACAAAGAGGCAACACACCCTGCTGCATATTTGCTCTGTGTCTTGTACCTCGGCACCTCCTTTGATCCTTTTCACTCTCTGACTGTTTCTTTTTTAGAAGACAGGCATACAGGGTCCACCTCTTTCCTGTCTTCTCTTAATTAAGGCTCTGAAAATATTTTCCATTCTTTATGTAGTTGCTTTTGCTTATCTACCTCCTCCCCATAATAAGGCAAAATTCCTCAAAGCTTCCTATTTTTTTACCCTATTCTTATGTTTATTTGAATTTCAATAACATGCACATAAACCCAGTTCTATGATGTTAACAGAATTTATATATTGGGCCTGTCTCTGCCTATCTTTATCCCCCTTCCTTATATATTCTTATATCCCTATACAGCATTCCCCACCCAATCTTCTATAGTATTTACAACACCATACAGTAGTGTAACTTTTGGCTAAAGAGTTTAAGGGTCTGATTTCTGATTTCACTTGAACACTGGAACAGGTGAAAGGATCAGATTGAATTACTCTGTAATTTAACCACAAATGTAGCCAACCCAAGTCTGTGCTAAACATTTGTGTTTCTGGCACTACCAGAATGTAGAAAATTACAACCAGAAATCAACACAGAATAAAGTCTGTTGTTCTTAAACACAGTATCATCTGTGTCAGAAATATCTGCTTCAAAGTCATTATAAGGGCAAGATATTAATAACCATCACTACCTTTGGCAGTTTGATTCTTTGTTGTGGCTTCTGCAGTGACAGACCATATCCTCTGGGAGAGGACTTTATTCTGAACAGGCTCACCCAGCTCCAGTATCACACCTTCATGTCTTCCTACCTCATTTCTATCCCATGCTTATAACAAGCTTCCTGTTCCCACAAAGTCTTTTCCTGTTCCATCTCTGCTTGTAAATTTCACCACTGAAACTGAAAGTTTCTAAAATTCAGAAGCCATTTTTAACTTCTTCTTTGCAGTCATCTTTCAAAACTTATGATCCTTTTCTATTAAACTGGTCTCCCTCAGGAAAAAGAAGCAACATGTATCCTTCCTTGCATGCAGTAAAGCTGGAGATACTTTTTCTGGTTTTGCACACCTCTGTTCAGTCAGTCCATGGTTTGGAAACATGCTCAGGTCTCAAGTGGTTGTTCTGCCTTTGTGCAAGTTGCCCTGAGGCCCCACTTACAAGCATCAGGCGACAGCCTTGTCTGGCACTTACTGTGCCTGAGTGTCAGGACCATTGTCTTCTGCTGGAATTGTATAAGAATGTCAAGCTTCTTGTTTTGATGAAATCTCTTCCCTGTTCTGAACTTATTAAGAAAGACCCTTAATAAAGCAACTGAATAGGTAAAAAATATATCTTGCCACAAATTTTTAGATATAATTATCTTTCTATAGAAGGAATCAATTCTACTCTGTTGGCATACCCCACCAGACACTTCTTCCTCATTATATGCTTTATTTAGTCTTTGTTGTTGTGTTTTAAATCTGCTACATTAACTAGTTTCAGAATTTACCAAAGTGTTTAGTTAAATTCCCATATTGTTTCATCTTGTCTTATATTATCCTCTGTGTTATACCTTAATAATCTGAACAGCTTCAACCATATTATTTGGGACTGTATTTCAGGTACAAAGCTAAGTCCGAATGTAAGCCAGCAAAGCCATAGTTCTCCAAGCAAAACAAATTTCTTTTCAAATAAAAAATTTCTTGAGGAATACAGTATATTGCACATATATTTTTTTTGCCAAAAAATCTCTTCTTCAGTACCTAGGGGGTGATATATTTTTACCATAGTTGGACAAATTCTTTGTAACCATCTCCTCACAGTGGAATATAGCTACTGCACTTCCTAGAATATTAGATGCCACAGATCTACCTAAATTATCATTGAGAGATTTCTTTTGAGCATGGCACTATTTTTACTACATGTATTCCAGGAAAATTACCTTCTCTCCTCTGTTTCGTAATCTGCTGATACATTACCTCTTCTATTAATGGTGTCTTGGAAAGATATTTTTGTCTCTCTAAGTACTTTTGTCCTAGAGTATAGCAGCTTTTTAAAAGAAACACAAAATCCAAACCAAAACACCCTGCCCAAAATCACCCAAAAGCACAACAAAAACGCATGTGCCTGGTCCATTGGCATCAGTATTTCCTGTTCACAAACAATTATGAGATCTATCTTATCAATATCTCTTTTATCTTCACACCTAGCTGAAATCATGTGAAGTAGGAACGATGCTCTAGGTTTCCAGTCTGAATCTTTGCATGTTGATCAAGACCAGGGTTATTCTTCACGGTACTTACTGTGTCTTCAGACACAGCAACAGGTCGCTTTCCAGTATCTATGTATGCTAGATCTGTAATGTTCAGTTTTGGAAATATATCTTTCTTGAGTAGTCTCTGCCTTTAAAATTGTTGCTTTCTCCTGCTGCTCCTCCTTTCATGCAGAAGAGGAGCACTTCACTACCTTGCAGATAAATGGTGAGTTCCACTAAACTCTTGGGGATGCTGCTGTGCATGGCCAAGAGGTGGACTCGATGATCCCTGTTGCTCCCTTCCAACTCAGTTTATCCTGTGAGAACTTAAGTACATCTCAGCTGGCACTCCAGTAGCTATCATGCTTAATAGACAGAATTAGAATCACGTCACTCCCAGCTGAGTATCCAAATAAACCACTTCAGTCTGACTTTCTCTTCTATTTTCTATTTTATGTCCACAGGAATAATGAGAATGACTCAATTTTAAGAAAGGTGTTGAAGATCCTATTGACCCAGGAAATCTTAGAATCTGTTATGAAGGTCATGAATCCTGTGCTTCATTTCATGTGAGCATCCATAATTATTTCCTTAGATGGATTTCCTAATCCTATTTCCTATTTTTCTTTAACTCCTGAAAATAGTATGTAGATACCTAGCTTAAGACTGGACCCTTCTCTGTGAAGGCTAAATGTTCTGTGTTTGAGAAAAAAAAAAAAAACAAACAAAAAAACCACAAAACAACACACAAAAAAAAAAAGGAAAAAAAAAAAGAAAAAAGAAAATTCAGTGTGTCTGAAGGAAATCAGATTTCATAACTTCCAATGTATAACTCCCAGTTCTGCTGCATGTCATCTACTAACTCTGCAGTTTTTGAGGCCTTATTTAATGACAAAAATAGCAGGAAAAAAGCAATCTAACTTATATAAATGTAAAAATATTTCTCACACGTTAATCCCATGAACAGTTGGGGTTAAAAAACAATCAGTAAAACAAACAAAAAAGCCAATAAGCCAACACCATCATGCAGATGGGACATACAGTCTAAGATAAAGAAACAGGATATCTACAATATCAGACGCCACCCTCAGTAAAATAGACCTTTTCTGCAAATGTGTTTCTCCCTCCCTTTACTTAATATGGAATTTAAATTATTGCTTTATCACTATTTATCAGTTTATCACTATTGTTGCTTTATCAGTATGTATTAGAGCCTTTGCACAGCATGCTGTTTTCATTGGGAAGGCAGAAAACTGGATAGTAATTTTATCATAAACACTTTATCAAAATCCACATATAATCTAAACAAGGTTAAACAGATAAACAGAAATTACATTTATCAAAATTTTGAGTGGCCAGTTTTACAATCTTTAAAACATTCTCTTCAGTAATTGTCAGTCTGTAATAAATTACTAGATATGCCTGGAATCTTTCAGGGAATTTTGAAAAAAAAATACTTATTTAAAACACTAAATGATAAATAAAATTATAGTGGGCTGTCTTAGATGTTTAAGATGTCTGTTAATTATTTGATTTATTTAAAATACAAGTAAAGTTACCTTGAAGAGCACTGCAGAGAAAAGAAGCACAGTAAGCTGCACTGAGTAGACAGAGATATTGAATCGAAAAGTTTACATGTTAATTGTTAATTTTGGATAAAACCTATTTATCTAAGTGTTTTCATTTTCATGACAAAATATTGGTTTTTGTTCCACTACCACTTCTGTTTCTGACATCTTCTCTTGCACCTCCATTTCTGGCATTCCACATTTGCTTCAGCAGACCCGTGGAGATTAATTTACCTTGTAGTCATGAGCATCCCTCTCAAGGAGGATTAGGCACTGCTAATGCATTAGACACTGCTAATCTTCTCTCTGCTGATCAGGATAGGACCCAAGGGAATGGTTTGAAGCTCCATTGGGTAGAGGGGTGGGGATGGGAGGGCCAGTTAGATCAGCATTAGAAAAAGGCTCTTTACCCAGAGGGTGGCTGGGCTCTCAAACAGGCTCCCCAGGCTACAGCACTGAGGCTGCCAGAGTTCAAGAAACATATGGACAACACTCTCAGGCACATGGTGTGAATGTTAGTATGGTCCTGTGAAGGGCCAGGAGTTCAAATTTAATGACATTAGTGGGTATTCCATGGATATTCTATGATTCTATGAATGACTTAACCATAGCACCCCTCACCAGGTTAGAATAGCTGCAAAGAGCTAGAAAATTTGCCTAAATTAGTATACATGCACAAACTGCTATGTAGATAAGGATTTAGAATCTGTATCATGTTGGGTTTTTCTTCTTTCAG